GAGCAGGGAGCCCGATGCGGGGCTCGATCCCAGGACCCTGGGATCATGACCTGAGCTGAAGGCAGACGCTTAACGACTGAGCCACCCAGGTGCCCCTTAAAAGCATTTTCTTAAGGCTAATAGGAGATGCAAGTTCTCGAGTCATTCTTAGAACCAACGCTCTCTCCACTCCTGCCCCAAATCCTTTGTTTTCTGTTAACTAAAACCACATAAAGTCAAATGAGTGCTTTCTGTTTTATCAGTAATAATTAAGTGTGATGACCTAATGAAGAGGGGTTTAAATGAAGTCTGATGAATGTTATGAGCTTGGAAAAGGCTTCCTTTTCTCCTGGCACGGTTGTGGTTGGCCATCTGGAGGGCTTTACGTGACCTGATAGCTGTTTTTTACACTTGGTTGGGTTTCTGAGAAGGGGCAGGGCCTAGGGGCTCCACTGGCTGCCCGTGCATGTCCCTATGTGCTCCCTGTCCATCTTGGGGAGCTCTTGCCTGGGCCCGAGCGTCCATGTCCGTGTCCATGTCAGCCCTGCCTGTTTGCTTCCCCGCTCCCCCCAAGCACTGCTGATTCTCGTCCTCTGGGCACCCCCAGAGCAGGGCTGAGCACATTCTGCCTCCCACACCCCTGTGCATGGCAGCCTTCCTCCCTGTGGCTTCCCTGGCACTCAGGTGTGCACGCCTCACGTGGCTCTCGGTGGACCAGGGTCAGCCACCCGTGGTGCTGGGAACTCGCTGCACACAGCACGCACTGAGCAAGTGAGAGAGGCCTCTAAGTCCTGTAACAGGGTCTGTGTTCTTTCACAGATTTCCTTTTAACCATTTTCCCTCTTTTTCACAGCGCTCTGGTGATTGCCACAGTGTTTGACCGAAACATAAACTGCAGGAGAGCAGCCTCTGTGAGTTTTCTTGTTTTGTTCCTTTTCCTGACGGTGTGGGTGGGCTCTGACCCGTGCCCTGGTCTGCTGAGCAGGCCGCACACTCCTGGATGCTGCCCGTGTGTGGTGCCTGGGAAGCCACCTAGCGGAGTGCCAGCTCACATTTCCTCCCAGTTTCAGGGGGAAGGGAGTGGTCTTCAGCCTGTGAAGCGGGGTCAGGATGAAATGCTCCACCCCCAGCATGCCCAGAAATGCAGCCGTCTCGAGCATCATGCCTGCTGACCAGACACGGCTTGAGGTAGCCTGTGCTCTGGGGAAGGAGAAGAAAGTGTGTTCTGGGCGTGTGACCTGAGTGTGAGGGCCGCGCAGGTGGCTTTGAGCCTCAGGAGGAGTTGTTGCCAAGCAGAGGTCAGCTCAGCTTCACATGGTTGTGCTGGGCCTGGAGCCTCACTGGACGTGCCTGGCGGCCCCAGTGCCCCTTCATGTATCTGAACACCGTTGCCTAGCCCCCCAGAGCCTGGTCATGTTTGGGGTGGATTCTGTGTGTAGAGAGCTTTCAGCAGGCTACAGTTGCTTCCGAAGGGCACTGACCAGGAGTCTGCATGAACATCCCACTGCGTCTCCAACAGAGCTGGACTGTGGCCCCGAGCTCTGCTTCAGGGGTTCCTGTGGATGCCAGTAGAGATGATGGCTGCCGGGCCTTGTCCCTGGGATACTTGCTGGTGATGTCCATGGCTGTGTCCTGCCTTCACACAGGGCTGTCTTACTGATGGCCAGTCACTTAGATCACGCTCAGACATGGGCTGGTGCAGGTGCTGAGGGACCAGAAGCCAGGGCCAAGAGTCCCTTCAACAGCAGAGCCTAGTGGCTGAGGTGACAGACCATCTGGAGACGGGAGACTTAGTTTCGGGTACAGACAAACAACTCCCCAAGCTTTAAGAGGTAAAGAATGGACATGGACGGAACGGCCGTGCTTTGAGAAAGATGTGGGGTGTGGCTGGTTGTGGCTCGTGGGAGAGGTGAAGCCAGGAGGACCCTGGTGCTGGCCAAGGTTTGGTTTCTGTATGGTTCGGGTTAGCGGGAGACCTGCAGGAGGAGGGTCCAGCCTGAGAGGCACTGGGGCCTGGGAGGGTTTTCTGTGAGCCCTCTGGATTGTCAGAAATGGGGGTATAGGGGACTTGAATGTGTTCTGTGGGTGGTTGGGCTGAGGGGTTGGATTGAGGGCCCCCAGCTGGGACGTGGAGAGAGCTGCCCACCTTGCCCCGGGGGCCCCCGCAGGCTGAGCCTTCCTGGCTGAGAAATGGGTGAGCCCCATGGGGACAGGTGGGTGAGCGTGGGAGGGCCTTGCTCTGGAGGGCTCTGCCCACAGACAGGGGGGCTGAAGCTGATTTTAGGTGTCCAGAGGGGAACAGACACACGCTTTTAGGGATCGGTCGTAGAGAGAGGGTGGAGGAGGCACCTGTACCCCATGGCCTGGTCCAGATGGAGGTTGTGTGAGTTTGTGAGACAGATGAGGAGGAGGAGGAGGTGTCTGCTAGAGGAAACTGAGAGCCACTCGTTGAAATCCACATTTAGGATTTGAACACTCGCTTCAGTAAGGTTATTAACAGTTAATGGAAAAAGATACCGAGGAGGAGATTCTGACTGGTGAGAGAGGGCAGAGGGCGCAGGTCAGCAGTTAGGCTTGTGCCTGGCTGGTTCAGAGGTGAAAGATGTGACTCGAAGGCAGGACACATAGGTGTGCTCAGACTACCTTCGGCAGGTGATGCATTGCCGTAAGATGTGGGATTTGGGAGAATCCGCGCCATGCTGGACGTGCTCCCACGTGCTCTGGGGACACGTTTTTGGGATTGTTAGTGTCACACTCAAGCTGGGACAGTGCAGGCTGGAGTGGCTGGGGGCCAGGGAAGGACCTGGCTTAGGCGGGGAAGGCTGGGTGGTGGGCAGTGGCGTGGCCACACAGATGAAGTACCCACGTGCACAGTTCCTGAGAGGGGTGGGCACTGCTGGGTCAGTTGCACTTGGTTCCTGCTGCTCCTACAGAAAGTCAGCAGTTCTTTCCCACGGAGGGGAAGCCAGGCCAGGCAGCATTCGGCCACAGCTCCGTCAGGGATATTGGACTGTCGTTTCCGTCTGTTGTGATGTTTTTGTATGGCTTTGGAGTTAGGGTAGTCTGGCCCCACGAAAGGAATTGGGAATATAAAATCTTCCTCTTGTATTTTGTACAAGAAGCTTTAAAAGCTTGTCATGGGGTGCCTGGGTGGCTCAGTCGGTGAAGCGTCTGTCTTCAGCTCAGGTCGTGACCCTCAGGGTCCTGGGGTTGAGTCCCGTGTTGGGCTCCCTGCTCCGCGGGGAGCCTGCTTCTCCCTCTCCCTCTGCCCCTCCTCCCCACTGCTCATGCTCTCTGTTTCTGTCTCTCAAGTGAATAAATAAAATCTTTTTTTTTTTTTAAAGATTTATTTATTTGAGAGAGTGAGAATGAGAGAGAGAGAGAGAGTACATGACGGGGGGAGGGTTATAGGGAGAAGCAGGCTCCCCGCTGAGCAGGGAGCCCGATGCGGGACTCGATCCAGGGACTCCAGGATCATGACCTGAGCCAAAGGCAGTCGCTTAACCAACTGAGCCACCCAGGCGCCCCATAAATAAAATCTTTTAAAAAAAGGTTGCTATTTCTTTGTTTCTACTTTAAGTGTTTGGTGGAAATCATCAGTGAATCCAACTGGGCCTGTTTTTTTTTGTTTTTTCTTGTTTCTTTGGAAGTATTTTGTTATTAATTCAGTTCGTGTAGCTTGTCTTTTTTCTAGTGAAGGAGCTTCTCTGTCCATCTAAGCTGTCAGGTGCAGCGACAGGACATGGGGGGCAGTGCTCCATCTGCCACTTCTCACGCTGTGCTCTGTCCCGTGTCACCATGGGGATGGTTGGTGCGGCTGTTGACACATGGCGGGTGCTCCACAGATGGGTGTTTCATGAATGGGTGACCATGGACCCAGGGACCAGCGTGGTACCTGCTCCCTTTGCTTGGGATGATGCAGGTGGAGCGTGGGCCTCCCTCGTGTGTGGGAGCTTGGTCGGAGTGTCTCCCGTGACCCCAGACAGGGCCTGTCTGACTGCCTGCTCTCTGTACCCCCAAACAGGTCTGATATAAGAGGTACTTGGCCTCAGGCCCTTCAAAATTTTGTCTCAAGAGAAAAGTTTGCCAGCAAAGCCAGTCTCTTCTGTGTTCATGCAGCTTTGTTTCTTTTGTCTGGAGCGTCAGTAGGAAGCCCCGTGATTCCTTGAGAGGCCTTCACATTTCTGCCCTGACATTCACTTGAAGGCCATAGTCATAAGACACTTTCAAACACAATGATGATTTTTTGTTAAATCTGGACTTAAAAAGTAGCTTTTATATTTTCTTTCTTGTTTCTTGTAAAGTCAAACATTTTAATGGGAAGCAGTAGTAAAATCAAAGCACTGACACCTTTATAAACCCTGAGGAAGGGGTGAAAAAAAACCAGAAATCATTTTGTTTGTTTGTTTTTCAAGTTAGAATTAAAGTCCTTCAAAATTAGCAGGAGATTCTTTGCATGAGACATCATCTATATATGCCTACTTACCTAGCAGCTGCAAAATTAAAACAGTGAGGGTAAAAGATGCATTTGTTTAAAGCTCAGGATTGAGTAGGTGATAACTTGAAATGAAATCTCTTACTGTGGAGCTGCCTCCTCAGATAAAGGCATGTTCTGCCCTTTCTGGCTCCTGTTTGTGCTCACGTTTCACGCTCTCCTTGCTGGGTCACTCCCTGCTGAGGTTAGGAGGGCCTGGGCCCGTTCGCTTGCCCAAGGACGAGGTCACCCTGCCCACCCAGGACCACAGGGCCACCGGGAGCATGTGGGCGCAGAGAGGGTTTGAGCTGCTGTGTCCCTTCAGACCCTTCCTCTCCGGCCTGTGGTTCACGTGCCGCCACTTCCCGCCTGCACTGTGGCGATGGGCGTCCAGGTCCATGATGGTGATGGTAGAAATGCGAGTTTGCCAGGCCCTGTGGGGCCTTGGTGAGTGCTGTGTTCGGTCTTCACAGCAACCCTGTGAGGATCTGGGGGGTGGCGGAAGGGAGGCCTGACTGATTGGTTAGGGTAAACACATTTGTGAATCGTGTAGCTGTTCAGTGTTCATTGCTCTCCACGTTGGAAGGTACCCACCCAGCCCGCAAATGTGTCGACATTTTGAGAAGACTTGTCCCCAGCCGGGAAGGAAGGAGTGGTGCAGATGGGCGGCCCCGTGCTTCCTCATGGGAGGGTCAGGGTGAGGAGGGAGAGGGAGCCTGGGAGCCTTGCTTCATCCGCAGTTACACTAAATCTCCTTAAAGCCCACATTTAGCTAAAAGCTGTTTGGCGTCTAAACCCCTATGTTACTACTTTCTGACTTTCTGTGTTGATGTTGCCTGGATGGAGTCATACAGCGTGTGACCCTCAGGACTGGTGTGTTCCTCGCAGGTGCGTCCAGGCTCTGGCTGGGCCGACAGTTCCCTCCTGCTCCTTGCTGGTCGGCTCCTGGTGACGGCAGAACCGCAGTCGCTCCGACCGTTTGCACGTTGTAGGAGCTTGGGTTATGTCTGGTTTTGCACTCTTTTAAGAATTAAGCTGCTGTGAACATTCGTGTCCAGGTTTTTGTGCGAACGGTGGTGGTTGCCTGTTTCGCCCTGTGTTCAGAGGGGCTGTGCCGTTTCACCTTCCCACCGGCAGCCTGTCCGGGATCCCGTCGTCCTGCAGCCTCGCCAGCATTCTGTGTTCGTTCTGTGGTCCTGTCGGCCATGTGGTGATGCCTCATTGTGCTTTTAAGTTGCCTTTCTCTGGTGGCGAGCACCTCTCCGTTGTCCTTGCCCCGTACCTCCTCTTTGCTGAAATGTCTGTTCAAGCCTCCTGCCGTTTGCTCGTTGGCTGCTGTGTGCACTGTTGAGTGTGGCATTCGTTAATGCTTCAGATGCGAGGTGCCGCCTTCACTGGTGTGTGGCTCCTGGGCTCGGCTCCCGGACTGTGGCTTCTGTCCTCCTGACAAGGTGTCTCACAGAGCAGGAGTTCTAAAGTTTGATGTGACCAGTTTGTCAGTTTTTTCCTACGTGGATCGTGTTTTCAGTGTCCACCCTCAGAATTCATGGCCTGGCCCTCGGTCCTAAAGGCATTCTGTTTTTCCATTCTGTTCCACCCTTCTCTGTGTCTGTCCTCTGTGTCTGCGTGCAGTCAGTCGCCATGCTGGGGACAGCCATCCCTCCCCTCTCTTCTTCAAGACTGCTTTACCGCTTCCAGGGTTGCATTTTTCTGTCAGTCTTGTATTATTTTTTACCTTCTTGATGTCATCAGAATGGTAAATATGTTCCTAAATTTTGCTTGTTATATAAATTGACATTATATCATATATCCATTGCTTACTGGTTGGTTTCTTATTTTCTTTAACAAATTTATTGCAAAAGGTTCAAAATGGTATGTAGAGAAAATCGAGTCTTCCTCCTCCCGGTTTGAAAAGCTATGGGAAGGCCATGGGTGAAATGCCCGTCTGCTGTGCCTGGAGGAGACCACCCTGCTTCTGATTTTTGGGGGGACCCGCCTGAGATGCTGGCCAGCGGCAGACTCGGGGCTCTGTGCTTGGGTTTCTCAAGTTCCTTTCTGCACACCTGCATGTACTCCCTCTCAGTGCCCTGTAAGGTACACAGTGAACTGCCCCCAGTGGCTCTGTCCAGGAGAAGGGGCCGCATCCGTGGGCAGGGCACCCTCCCAGGGCTGCCCTGACTTCGGACCTGTCACGTGCTGACCACGTGGCCGTGCGGTTGCGGCCCATGCTGCTGTGCTCGATGTCCTGCTCCGTTGGGGAACTCTGAGCCCGCTGCTTTGGGGAGAGTGGGGTCGGGGAGCCAGCTGGGTGGTAGATGGGAAAGGAGGCACTGCCCATCGTCCACTGGCCCTGCCGTTGTTACCGTGCCGAGGGCCTGGCTGTCACACCCCCGCAGAGCAGGCGGAGGGAGAGGAGCCACCAGCGAAGTGAACAGGCATTTTAAAGAAAGCACCTGAAGACACTTCATTCTAAGGAAATATTTTGAGCACTGGGCCTGTGTTGGAGGCTCAGGGCTTGTCCGTGATGGCCCGTGGGGAAGGCAGAGGGAGGAGGTGGGCCATTTATGTTCACCGTTGCGAGCTGCTATCACAGAGTTCCCAGGGAAAGGGTCTTGTGTTGGATTTGATTTAATGGACTGATTTGACTCTGTTCTCATGCCTCTATCTAGGGCCTTGAATTAGGCATCAGTGAGAAGCTCGGCGTCTGCATCTAAAGGACACTTTTCAGGATGTGTCTGATTTTATAAACTTGAATTGTGGTTTAAAAAAGCACCAGGACCTAGAGACGGAATGACAACTACCCTTGAGGCTCTGATCAGCCAACAATGAGGACTTTTATTTAAAAAAAATAAAGCCATGGGTCATTTGTGCTACATGGCGTTTGTTTTGAATTTCTTTCCTGATGTTTAGCAAAGCGCAAACCTAACTCACCTGCTCTGTTTGTTCTTCTTTTCCTTAGGCTGCTTTCCAGGAGAATGTGGGAAGACAGGTATGGCTACTTCTTGAAGTCTTCATTCCTAAAACTTCCTGTAGTTTTAACAGTAGAAATACTGAAAGCTGCAAACTTGGTATCTCCTTGCATTGTTAGATGAAGGTAAAGAATTTACCTAGAATAAGCTGATATTTAACTCAGTCACGTCTGGTCACAGAACCGCTTATGATGTTATCCAGGGGAGAGTTGACACAAGTTTTAAACAGTTAGTATTGTGTTTTATGGTAAACTCGAATGTGTAAGTAATTTCACACATACACACACACATCAGAGCTCAGTACCTTATGCATTGCCACTTGGTATTAGCAGTTAGTTGCCTGTGGGTGCAGGAAGGATGTGGGTGGAGGAGCCCGGCTTCTCAGGGACAGAGATGTGATCACTGCCCATCCTACGTGTGGTAGGAGCCAGCTTCTGGAAGCCATTGACCCTGTGGCCTCTCTCTCTGCTCACCAGCACCATCGTCCCCCCTAGTCCTGAACCTCTCATGATTGGTCAGCCTTGGCTGTGGGGTGTGGTCCTTATCACCGAGTCATTCACTCTGTGTGAGCTGGTGGCCATACTGGGACATGTGGTTGGCCTGAGGAAGAATGGGCTGGAGGCGGGTCATGTTGGGGGAACACTGAGCTGAGCTCTGTTCAGCGCCCCAGGAGGAAGGTCTGGGCTGAAGAGGAGTATATTGTGGGCGAGGGCATCAGCAGGTGGTGCTGGGGGACAAGAAGAGACAGTGATGGGCATCTGGGCCTTGGGGGTCAGAAGTCAGGCTGCAGGGCCCAAGGGGAGCCCCATGTAGAAAGCTTGCTCAGCAGCGGGAAAGGCAGGCCTCAGAGAGGGAAGCCTCCGGTAAAACACAAGCATTCTAAGACTTGGTGTTGGGGTGTTTGGGAGGAAAATGTCCTTGTAGGTGCCCCCTATGTCCGTGAGGGTCCTTGTTGCAGAACCTGGGGGCCTGGGTTCTGCATGCTGGGTCCACCATCTCCCGGTTTAGTTGCCGTTCTCCTGGGCTGCCAGAGGCCAGGGTGAGGGCTGACCCTTCTGCTTCCACGGGGGAGGCGACCTTTGGTTCTTGGTGGGAAGTTCTCCCAGAATTGGCCCAGGGAGGCTGTCCAGTCTTGCTTCCACAGCTGGCTGCAGGGCACGTGCTGCTCTGTGCTTCATTCTCCTCCAGCACCTCTGCCTTCTCAGGGTCTCTCCCTTTCTTCCCTGGCTCAAAGGTGGCTGACACCTTTGGGTGTCACTTAGTCCACGTCCACCTGGGGCCCTGGAAACTTAGAAGACGGTGGCTCCCTAGGAAAAGACAGCTGACCTCTGAAGGGGACCAGCTTCAGTGTGTCGGGGCCGCGAGTGTGGAGAGCTCCAGAAGGCAGTGCTGCGCTGGCAAAGGAAGGGGTTGGACAGGCATAGGGGGTGGGTGGGCAGGCCGCTGTAGTCAAGGAACCTGCTGGAAGCTGAACTGAGGGGCTCTGGGCACCCCAAAGTCAGAGCCCAGGAGAAAGAGGCATCTCCCCACCCCTGGCTTCCAGCCTGCCGTGGGCAGAGCTCTGTTCCAGACACAAGGTGCTCTGGAGCAGGGGTGCTGTTGAGTCTTGGCCGTCGCCGTGTCCCGTTTGGTGGGGACACTCAGGTTGGGTGGACAGTCAGGGAGAGGAAAGGGGTCTAGGTTTAGGGGATCAGCGGGAGCCGGTGTTCCGGGGGTGTCCCCCCCCCCCGTCCTGACGTTTGCTGTGAAACCAGCATACACATAGCACAGGGTGCAGGGGGGTTGTGCAGCTGTTAAAGAGACACAGACTTTGAAAGAAGTAGAGTCAGGAGGGCCCAGGGTGCCCCCCAGCCCTGCACACGGCAGTGTCCTACTGTTTGGTGGGAACGTTGGAGAAGAAGGATGTGAACTTGCCAAAGCAAACAGGGTCGCACTCAGGGGAGGGCATATAAACTCCCTGACTTGGCATGAAGTTATTAGTGATGTTTGTGTGTTTGCGAGAATTCCCAAAATGTGACCCACAGGCTTGAGGTGTGCAGATGGTGCTGGGAGAATGGCGCCGACAGACTGGCTCACAGGGTTGCCACGAACCTCCGTGTGCAAAACGTGCAGTATCTGGGATGCGCAATGAATCGGGGGTGCCGGTACTGTTGAAACCTGGTTTGCTTGCTGGTTTTTATGGTGTGGGTGTGAGTCTCTTAAACATTTTAGAATTGAAAGTGTTTGAGTTGTTTGGAAAAAAGAAGTATTTTTGAGCGGTTCCTATCGTAATAGCACCATGTGCCGCGTGAGACGGGCAGTCAGTGAGCTGTCTGCTGCTGGTCCCCAGCGTGCCTCTGCCGTAGGTGTGAGTGGGTGTGAACGTGGCCGTTGACCTTCTGGCAGTGCCTCCCCTCACTCGTGTCACTTGTCCTCTTCTCCCTCTTGACTCTGTGACTAGGGCACTTTCCCTCACGGAATCGATATTTTGACTGCAGCGGACTACTTTGCTGTTGGCAACAGAGCTAACTGTTTCCTGGTTATAAGGTAAGTTGTTAATTTGTCACAAAATACGACACTCCCTGTGATGCAGATCTTCCCCCTGGAAAGTCCACCAAGAGTAGATGTAATTTACATGACCGAAATTTGTGTTTCCCGCTGATTGGACCAGGTGCCCAGTGTGGGATTCTGTTTACGTAAGACTCTAGAAAATGCAAACTAATCCAGAGGGATTGCGGCAGGTCTGGGTGGCCTGGGGAGGGGTGTGGGATCTGCTTGCTTTTTAAAGGGGTGCTAACAGCTTCAAGCATGATAACCAGAATGAGTGCTGTCTCTGGTCATCCCCTCCTCCCAGCCCGCCCTGTTGCGTGGGCGCTGCCTCTGGGCCCCCTTTGTGCCCATGCTTCCTGCAGCTGCTGCGGATGCACCGAGGTGGCTTAGGAAGGACTGGTTTTTCTTCCCCAAGTTGAAGGGATCTCTGGCTTGTTTATGACATGCGAGTAAGAAGAGGTATTTGGGAAATCAGGTCAAGGGGTAGATACGTAGCATGGCCACCAGCGCTGCAGGACCCGAGTCAGATTTGCACCTGCGTGACGTGTGTGCTGGGAGGCCCCTCGCTGTCTCGGCTCCTCGCTGCAGCGCGGGGAGGGTGAGGCGTGTCTGTGGTTTGTCGCCCTGACCCTGCACTAACCATTCTCCATCCTGACGAGACTCTCTCGCACCTGTGGGGACTGTGCAGAAGTTACTTTTCTCCATTACAAGCGTGCACAGATTTTTTTTAAAAAGTAGCATTTGGCCTCTTTCTCAGAGTCTTTGACTAAACACACTGTATTTTTAGCATCCTTTCCATCTTTTCTCAACATCTAATGGCTTTCTGTGCCTTATCAGTTTTTTCCTGCTTTTGTTCTGTTTTCTTTGTTAATATTTGAACATATATATATATTTAAATACACATGACATTTATTAGAAAATGTAGACTACCAAACTCCATCCGTCACTGTCGGGTAGAAATGCAAATACTGAATATGCATATGAACCGGGACCAAAGGGTGACAAATTTTAAAATATGCCATTGGGGATGGGAGTAATGGGTGATTTTTTTTTCTCTTCTGTCTGAACATTTATTTTAATGTGGAGAATTTACCACTTTTCCCTGAGCTTCCTGGGTAAAATAATCAGCAGTTTTTAGCCTTGGCATATTTTTCTTGTCGCTAAGGTTTCTAAGCTGGTCTAAGACTTACATGTAATCAGTTGTCTGCATTTCATAGAGATGTTTGACAGAGCTTAACCCTGTGCAGGGCGTGTTCTTTAATGGTGCATTTGGTACTCTTAGTGTGGAAGAGAGGCGGTCGGTGAGGACAGAGTCCTGCGGTCATAGGACTGGGATCTGTGGGCACTTGGGGGGCTCTCCACTCCAGCCAAGATAGGGCAGACACCCAGGGTCCTGCCGTCAGCCTGGACTGTGGTGGGGGCAGGGGGAGGAGAGGGAACTGTGCTGAGGGGGACAACCCAGGAGGGATGGTCCAGTGTCAGCAGGGCCCAGCTCGGGTGTAGTGAGGGGCTTCTGAGCTGAAGTGAGGGGTGTGCATCGTCCTGAGTCATGGGACACGGTTCAGCAGTCAGGTCTGCATTTTGGCAACTGGAAGCACAGAGGTCAGGTCCCTCGTGAGGCGGGGGTCAGTCTGGACCCCTCACAAGTTGATTCTTCTGGAGATTAGGGTTTCTGGCACACAGATTGGAAGCAAGTTGAAAGCAGCAGGTGAAGACAGTCAGGTGGGGTGTACCAGCAGGTGCTCCACCTTTGTTCTTGCTTGGACAGCTTTGTTAAAGTTCTGAGAGCACAAGGACACTGCCGGTCCCACACGTATATTCTGATCTGTCACCACGCCCAGGTAGTGGGAGAGCTGCTACCACAGAGTTTCCCCGGGCCCCTTCCCCAGCTGGCTCAGGTCTGCCGGTCACTGGATTAGTTTGCATTTTCTTAAGTGATGTGAATGGAATCACACAGTGTGCACTCTGTATTTGTGCTGCTTCTTTCACTTGTTGCATGTTAATGATTCATTCATTCCTTGGTTGCTGACTAGTATTCTGTTGTATGGGTACAGCACGTCCGCTTGTCCGTCCCAGTTGAGGAACATCTGGGCGTCTCCAGTTTGGGGCTGCTACAGATAAAGCAGCAGCGAACGCCCACGTACACGCCTGTCTGTGGGCAGGTGCTGTCGTGTGTTGAGCACCTAGGGTTGGAACAGCTGGACCCTAACTTTTTAAGAAACTGCCAAACGGATTTCCAGGACAGTGGCCTGGTTTCCCATGCCCCGGCAGCCAGCCCTCGCTGGGGCCCATCTTTCTAATTGTAGCCATTCTAGTGGCTGTGCAGGGCAGCTCATTAATCTGTGTTTTCCTAATGACTAAGGCTTTGAGCGTCTTTCAGGGGCTGCTTTGATAAATCTTTTGCCTGTTTATTGGGTTAGTTTTCTTCTTACTGAGAATTTGAGAATACTTTATATATTTTGAATACGAGTACTTTTTCAAACAAACAGTCTGCAAAGGTTTTCTTTTTGTCTGTGATTTGTCCTTTCAGTATCCTGGGTATTCCTGAGACTAAACCTCTAAAAAGGTCGTATTTATTTTTGTACCTGTATTTTATTACATATAATTTCCATATAGGGAGATTCACCAATATAAAATGTGGGTTTTGGCTGATGGGTGGCCACCACTGTGGTCAATGCAGGGCGTGCTTCCCTCATTTCAGAAAGTCACTCAGTCCTGGGCCCTAGCAGCTCTGACTCCCCTCCTGTGCCCAGAGTCTGCCTTCTTTGGAATTGGTGTGAACGGAGTCACATGGCGCGTTTGCTTTTGCGTCCTGGCTTCACCGTGTTACTGAGTTCCTGCTGTCCCCTGCCCTGTCCCCCATTTACCGGCTGGTGGCCGCTCGAGCCCCTTTGATGTCAACATGCAAACACAGGGCTATTTCTGTTGGGAAACAGCCAGTGGTCGTTGGCACTTTCTGTTGTGGGTGTCTTGCTGCTGGAAGTTTCCTTAGCAGATTTCTTTTTTTTTTATTCTTATGTTAATCCCCATACATTACATCATTAGTTCTAGATGAAGTGTTCCATGATTCATTGTTTGTGTATAACACCC